GGGTATTTACCCACTATAATATTAACCTACCAAAAATTTGTGTAAATATTTTTTTTTTTACTGTCAAACATAATCATTTTTATTAAATAAATTTAATTTTAAAATTTGAAGTGTTTTGGTTAGTTTTTAAATTCTTAGATTTATTTTCCCATTAAAAGTGGTATTGATTTCAAAATGAATAAAATTAACAAAAACTTCATAAATATAATTTATGTACTCTAATCATCAGTCTTGGAAAAATATGAAATAGTCAGGAAACAATCATAAAAAAGTATTGTGAGATCCATGGATTGGTTTTAGCATTAAAAATAAATTTACCCAATTTGTTGGTAAATACTTGAAATTATATTTACCGGGTATTTGCCTATCACTAGTAGTAGGTACTATTTAAAATATTATGATATAAAATTATTCTCGTTGGTACAATAAAAAACCAAATTACAGGTAGTAAATTACCTTCAAAACGTAACTTAAGTGTCTTATATTATAATATGCGAAATATTAATTTAAATTTAAACTCAAGTATTTTGTTAACTACTGATGAATGTTTAATGCACTGGAATAAGGCATGGATTCCAACTCGAGATTGTGATAATTGTGCGAAAAAGATAAAAAAAAAACTATATTCTGAATTATGAAATTTAGAAAAAAATGGAAATATATATCAAGTAAGAAAAAAGTAATTTGAAGAAACTTTTGTTTGTTTGATATCGATCATTCGAATGCAAAAAATTTATTAATTTTTCTAATTCTAGTATATTGAACGGCTTTGTTAGAACAAAAATTTGGAAGAAGCGTATTATTTTTGCTTGTCGACATCATATTTTCGAAATAATATTACAAGCCGTTTTTATTGAAGCTAAATTTCCACAATCATCTTGTCCAAATATACTAATTTTTAAAAGATTCGTTAACAGTTGGTCCAATATTAATAAAAAAGTGTGGAAAGATGATCCATGACATATAATATATTAAATATATATAATAATATATATTATTATGTAAAATATATTAAATACAGTTCGAGATAAAATATTAGATTTTGCAGAAAAAAAAACTTAAAGATGATTTCCCTCGTAGTGATTAAAAAGAGTTTTTGCAGTTGATTATAATATTTTTTAGAAGGAAACTTAAAGGAAATATTAATTTTTATCAACCTAGTACTTAAATATAAATACATTGCTGAAATTACTCTAAATACTTTTATTAATCACTTATGGTATCTAAGTGACGAATATGTAACATTTTCAATTTTTGACAATCTTCTTAGAACAAAAAAAAAAAAAATAATGGCAATAAAAATGTTAATGAATGAACACAATGATAATGAGCAAGTAGGAAACATTAGGAAAAAATATTTATTGAAAATCGAAGATATGTTGATCTGATTTCTTTAAAATCAGTAAACATGTTTGATAAATTTTATATTCAAACTAATTCTTTATCTCTTGATCCAATATACTGGGAAGTAAATGAATAATATAAAAAAGAAAAGAAATTATTGATACATTAGAAGTTGTTAACGATTCTGCCAAACGCTGTTAAACTGATAAAATACATGTATATATCAATGGCGTAGCGCACAAGTGTGACAAGTGACATTTTCGTAATTGTTCTAGAGCAGTGGTGGCCAAACTACGGCCCGCGGGCCAACTCCGGCCCGCCATCATTTAATATCTGGCCCGCGAAAGTCTTCTATATTACAGCACTTATTTGTATAACTGTAATATTTTGCATTTACGTAAAAAAAAATTTAGAATGCATTTTTTTATGGCCCGCGATAAAAAAAAAGTTGTTTTTTATGGCCCGAGGAAAAAAAAGTTTGGCCACCACTGTTCTAGAGAACGATTTTTAAGTTTGAGCTGTTATGACAATTCAAAAATGTAACGAACTGCAATGAACTTTTATTTATATTTTTTTTAAAATGTAATGAGTAATGAGGATTAAAAACCTGCAATTACCACATTTATATTCTTAAAAAAAAATTAAAAAAAAAAAGTATTGTACTCATTTGGTGCACGTAAAAAGTAATACTTAAACATTTTTCATTTAAACATTTTTCTTCTAATTCCAATAAAGAACAACAATTACTTGAATAATGTTATAATTTCGTTTGTGCATAATGTGCGGAATTGTATGATTGAATTGAATATGCACTTAACTCATTTTTCAAAAAAAATGTCGCTTATCAAACTTGTGCGCTATTCCATCGATATGTAAATTATAATAAAATATTATATTTCAAACTGAAGTATATAAATTAATATTCAAAATATATTAATATTTTATGAGCTAATGAGCTAAGCATCAATTATTCTCGATTTATCATTATTATTATTATTTCATTTTTTTTTTTTTTTTTTGATATAGGTAAATTAAACTATTATATAATAACGGTTACTCTATCAAAACCCTGATAAAATACGATTTTTCAAGAAATTAAATTTTATACAATATTTTTAAAAGATACTTTATCGTAAATAATTACGGTTATAAAACCATTTATAAAGTATACTCAAATTAAAGGAAAAAAAATTTTGACAAAAAAAATTATTTTTTTTTCTTATTCGAATTTTTTCTAGAAAATATTAAAAATATGAAAATTTTCATAATATACTTTTTTGTAGGCATTAATAAATTGTATAAATAAGTTTCAATACATTTTTATACTTATTGCTGTATTTTTTGAATAAAACTAAAAAAACACTAAAACCACCCTAAATTGCCTTATTTCAACCCTGATTCGACACCAGAAGGGGTTGATTCACATCTTCCAAATTTTACCAAAATTACATTTTTATATAACTTAACAAATCTATAGGGTACGGAATAATATGTATTAAAAAAAATATTTCACTTATATAAATAATGACCACCCTAATATAGACGACCTACACTAATACTATATAGCCATGGCCACTATTCAATGGTTACTGGTTGGCTTTATTATTATTTATTACTTTAATCTAAGTTTATATATTGTTATTTATGGAACGTTCCAACCAAAGATTGACGTTTTTTATCCATGTGTTTACACAATTATTGTCTATATTATTATTATATGAGTATAAAATTAGCTATTAGGTATACGTATATTAAATTCCGGCCGTAAGCATTAGACAGCGTATCGCCTAGTATCGCAGGTAACGCCCAGTCGTCGATTACATAGAAAAAAAAGTTAATCGTTATAAAATTGAATGGTATTATTTGAAATACGTTCATTTTTATGTTTTCTGTGTTAATAATTTTACAACACCTTTTCTTCGTTTATAGAATATGTATATTTAAAATTTAAAACGTACATACGGTAATACTATGTAAGTGTTTATTATTCCTCGTTTCATTTCCACAAAAAAAAAAAAAAAATATCTTTTTCAAAATTATCTAGATAATTTATTTTAGATAACCATTTTATTTAAAAAGATGGATAAAAAGATACTTCAAATTATTATTATCTAGATAAAATAAAAAGATTAATGTTTTTATCTAGATAAATCATCTAAATAAAATTATCTAGACAATGAACAACAGTGTGTGAAAAATCTGTTTCTGATCAGATTTTATAAAATTAATTTCTGTAATCAGTGACTCACATGAATAATATATTATTGATATTTATATTATACATATATGAAGATAAAATAGACGAAATTGCTAATGCTAATATTTTGCTTCATGTTACGTTTACTTTGTTACCTACGTTCAACAATAGTGAAAAAATACTAACATTGTGATGCTGCGATTGATTATTAAAAATAAAAATGTTTTATGAATATTTTCATTTTTCGCGTTCCATGGATTTGTCATCCCTGTCATATATTTTTGCAAATTTTTTTTTCTTACAAGAACAATATTTTCACACTAATAATTAAACAGTTAATCTTTCTGGAAATGCTGATGTGATTTTGTTTAAATTTAAATCAGTCCTTATAGTATTATTTGAATTTAAAATCGCGCGTGAAAAATGTAAAGTTATTCAACGTCTGGTTGCGGGGCAACACTTATTTTTCATAAAAATTCGTAATACACATTTTTTGATGTACAATGGTATAATAAAGAGCCCCCTATACCCTCTTCCATATGATTATAATTTTTAGCAATAGTTCCTTTTTATCAATCATCGAATTGCACATTATAATTAGGTAACTTATTGTCAATATTATTATTATTAATATTAATTATTAGGTAACCAATCTGTTATTATTTTTTAAACTGAAAATATACTTTTGTCTGTTATAAATCTGAAAACTATTTACAAATTATTTATTTTAATGTGGGATGTATAACTTGAAATGTAATAGATATATTCAAGTCCTCATCAGCTGTCTCGCTAACACTAGTTTCCTGAAAAACACCTTCATAGTAGTCTTATTCATTAATATTTAGTAGGTGCACACTTCCACTTTCGGACTACATACCCCGTGTTGGGGGCTCACTAAAAAATAGGGGTTGGTGTGGGGAAAGAGAATAAGCTAAAACCGACCTATTATTTATCTGTATACGTTCGTATCAATTTGCGTACCGTATAATTGATATTACAAATCGTCATTTTGAATTGAAGCTACATCGAAAACAAAAAAAAAAAGCGTGAACGTTAATTTTTAATAATTTGAATTCGTGCGGGTCTTAAGCTCAAAAGTGGACGCGCGTAAAACATTGTACGAATCGGAATGAACTTTGTTTAATTATTGATTTGGTGAAAAAGAAAATCGTTAAAATCGTATATTTAAAAACTCATTTGATGCGTACAATTGTGCAGTGTCGATAAGTTGAAGATAATAAAAAAAGAGATAAAATAAAAATGAGATTTGTATGAAAAAACGTGGCAAAAACTAACTGCGATGGCCGGGAATCGAACCCGGATCAACTGCTTGGAAGGCAACTATGCTGACCATTACACCACCATCGCAAGATGATTTTATGTAGGGAAGTACTAAGTTTAAGCAGTACCACCTAGGACAGTTTGGCAACTATTGTTACGGAATCATGTGCTACACGTATCGACGGTTCCCGATAACAATATTGTTGTTCGCGGTAAAACGTGATGATGATAGCGCGACGACTGCGCGATAACAACGTTTTCAGCCCTCACGCTCCGTCTCATGCGCTAGGAGCAGCCGAACATTTTCTTCCGTCCTACGTTGTCCTTTTCGTGGTCCGAGATGCGGGACTTTGGACAGGTCGCGACGTTCCACACGTCCGAGCAGGAGATCAGCCCGATGTGCATATATCTGGTGAAGAACGACAGCAAGGGTGACAAGCTGCTGTTCCGGTACCCGTTCTGCAGCTTCGGCCGTCCCGTCAAGGTGACCGCGAACGATCAGAAACGGTCGCTGCACAAGGAGTCCGTCATGGACAACGCGGTGCAGCCGCACGAGCTCAACGACTTCACGGACGACGTCTTATCAAGTCTGTTCGCCGTCAAGACCGAGCTGTGCGGCCGCAAGTTCGAACTGAAGGTGAACAACGTGCGGTTCGTCGGCAATCCGATACAGATACAGACCGGCGGCAATGAAGGGGTCGGCAAACACGGAGGAGTCGGTGGCGAAACGAAGCCCGAGAGTCCGTCCATCATACTGATCAACATAGTATTCGCCCTGGACTCGTTTGCTCGCCGCCTAATAGTCCATAACTACTACGAGATAAGCAGATGTGTTGGCGTAGCTCTCAAGCACGAAGAAAAACGATGCGCCTATCTGTCGTCGCAGATAAAAGATATGCTCATGGTGCACGATTCCATGGCTACAGGGTAAAAATGTTATTTATGCTTATTTTTACTACAGTCACCGGGTACAGTGACAGTTACGAGATGGATCATGAACCATGTAATATCGACACAATAGTCATATAGTTCAAAGCCAGTTCATAGGTGGTTTGCTTGATAAATTCTACAATCAGTTGCTGCGTAAACATTTTACTTGGTTTTGACATTTTACACAATTTATTAGATAGTTAAGTTTAACTATGGGAAAATTAAATATTGTATTTAGTAAGTCCTTGCGGGACTCTGTTTATTGATGGGCTGCTATTTAACACTGAATATGATTTTTATTGAATTGATCATTAAGATTTAAATTTTATCTATTTACGATTTTTTTTATTATTTTTACAGTTCAGAGTGTGATCTAGACACATCTTTTGAGAATGATCAACATTTCGAGAAAATCCTCAAAAATTGTTCCTTAGCTCAGTATTTAAAAAGAGTGTTCGAGGATATAAGTACCACTGGAAAGGTCAACATAAAAGTTGATGGCTGGATTGACGTAAGCTACTGTGTGACAAGCAAGGTCCATCGTTTCTTTAGGAAAGACCAGTATTTTGAACCATACTTTATTGACAAGTGGGAGCACATTACATCTGATAAAGTGAATCAGTACTAGTATGTTTTGTGCTTGAAGGTGTTTAGAAGGAATTGCGCCGTACCACGGTCTGCTCTTGTTAGCTGACCGCAAAGTTCTCCTGGATAGTTTGCCACTAGATACTAGTCCATCAGTTGTTCGGGTTATCAACATGTATAGTCCTATCAAAAGCTTGGAAACTTTATCTGCCGATTCAGATCTTACCATTGCTCAAGTATGAAATAATTAACAAGTGCCGTGTGAAGTTTAATTGTAATGTTAAGTATGGGATATGTTTATAGGTATTTAATATAGCTGGTCATTTGGTTTACTGGGGAGATGCCACTATAATATTTCCACTGACAGAAAATAACTTGTATACTATTGCTCCTCATGTACCAACTGAACGCAATAATAAATATGCCCTAAAATTTAAAGAAAAGTTTCCCGATTACGATTTATTAGAGGTAATTATTTGTATTGCAATCACTGAATTAATTAATATTTTATCTAAAATTAGGTAATGAGCGAATTTTCCTTTCCCACATCATTGCAATATAAAATGTGTCCAGTCGATGATAAGAGCAGTGGCTCCACAATGGTTCAAATAATAATTTGGTTGTTGCAACACAAAATGTTGCTTCAACTTCATACATACATTTACTTTATGCCATCCAGTAAAGGTCTTGTAAGTATTAAAATATTTCTGTTTTACTATTATTGTTCATTAAATGTACTTTTAAAATTCATTTTATATAGGGTTATTATAAGGAGGAATCAGATGATGATGATGATGAACATTATAAACTTCCCTCTGAAGAACCAATGGCTATGTATCAATTGCGGTCAGATACTGAATCTGTAGTAACAACATATTCTGAATCCATGTGTAAAGCAGAAAAAATGTTCCATGAATTGGACGAAGCTGAACAAATGGCCATGATGCATATACCGGCAACAGCAAATCCTGATGACTTTCAATTATTAATGAGGCTGTTAAGAAAAGGTTATTTTAAAGGAAATCATCACATAGAAGAAATAATGTACTTGCAAAATATCCGACGATCGGATTTAATACAATTATTGGACAAGTTCAAAGATGTATTAGTAATTGTTGAAATGCAAGATCCAATAATAAGTTGTTTCTATTCACAGTAAAAATAGAAAACACATTTAAAATGTTAATAACCGTCTTTTGCCTCTAAATTATATTTACCATTTAGTCATTGTCTTCCAGTAAAATATGGTTATTAATATTATAAAATATTTTGTATAGTGAGGTTTAATGTTGATATTAGAATATGATGGAATTTATTTTTTTTTCATGTAAGACCAATTTGTAAATTCGATAAGAGCATTTAATATTTATATTAAAAAAAAAAAATAAATGAAAATTTGTTGAACATGGTTAAAATATTGGTCTTAATCGTTGAAAAAATGTTTTCAACAAATTATATATTTATAAAAGTATTTATGAACTTTTTTATTTATAGAGATGTATGTTTGTATTATACAGTAGTATATAATTGCATTATACCATGTATTATATACATGGTATAAATTTATTTTATACAGACGGTATGAAAAAAAAATATAATGCATTAGTTAATTTAAGTTATTTTTAGTAACTCAACTATTAATTTTTTAATAGTACCTATAGAAAGGATCTCTAATTAAATACAGTATTATTATAAAAATTAAAAATATACAATATTATCGTAATCATGTTAATTTAGTATTCAGTTGTTAGAAATGACTTAAATCAGTTTATTGAACTATTATAATATTCAAATATTGTAAATGTAGGTACAATGAAATAGTATATAACTATAAAAGTATAGTTTTATATTTATTTTTATTTAAAAATATCTATAACATACATCATAATAGCAAATTGGTAGCATGTTTAAACATTAATTTGGTTAATTAGGTCCAAAATAATTCTGATATTGTGTGTTTTTTAATTTTTTTCTTACTTTTTAGTAATTTTATGCAATTAATCCATTTTAAAATAATTAATATTCCATTATTAACAATATGGTTATAAACTTTGTTAAATTTCCTATAATTTAAGGCACTGCAAAGTTTAATATGGGTATCATACGGTATTATACAAAAAAAAAAAAAAAAAACTTTATTTTAACATCACTAATTATTTATTTGCATTTCAAAATTAATTAATGCGTTGATTAAAGGAAAAGTAAAAAAAAAAAATTATTTATGTTATCTAATTATTTATATTTGGAGCATTACTTTTCACACAGTTTGGTTTATTGGACTAATTTATTGTAGATTCATTCTATAGATTACTACTAAAAATTAATAGTTGAATTACTAAAACTAACGCCTAATTTTTTTATATTTTTTTTTTATGCCATCTTTATGAAACAATTTTATACCACGTGTATAATACAGTCTTATACCTACCACTGTATAATACAAACACCAATCTATACTAATCTATTAATCTATCTACCTATATCTTATACTCATGACCAGTGACGGTGCTAGAGTTTGCGAGGCCCTGGGCAAAATAAATGTTGGGTCTTATAATTTATATTAATAAAATATTTTAAGTTCAGTTAAATCAGAACCGCGGGGCCACAATTATAATTTAAGGTGCGGGGCCCTGGGCAACTGCCCCTATCGCCCATCTCCTCGCGTCGTGCGTGCTCATGACACAAATAAAATTTTAAATGTGTCATGATCTCCATGTTGCAAGTGCTGTCGCAAGCTTTTGCGAGGGTCAAAGCAAAATCAGAACAATTTTTTTACTCCTAAATACATCTAACCATTCCAATTTGACAAATTGTTGGCCCAGAATTAATTTCAAGTGCGAGGCTCTAAGCAATCGCCTAATTTTGTCACTACCATTGCCTATTACTTTTGTGCGACTCAATCGTACATCTGTAGACAGAAATCAATGCATTGATTGTATTGTATTAGAAGTGTATTAACATGAAATGTTTTATAATTCATAATTTTTAGTGTTGGGTAACAACTTAACGGAAAGTAACTGTTATACTAATACGTTGCGTAATTTCATTACAATATTTACTGAGCAACAAAAAATATAATATCAATTATTTATCATTTATTTCATATAAAGTGTTACAAATAGGTATTTTCATTAAAAATATATATTTGTTTTGTATAATATTTAAAATATAAATATATTGATAAAAGATGATAAATGTATGCATACAATTTTTTTTTCAATCGCAACTTGAAATTAACGTAGATACTTTTTTTTATAGAAAAGTAATAAAGTGATTTCATTCAAATTTTGTTTGAATAAAGTAATATGTAATTTCATTACATTTGAGTAAGTTACGAGTAACGAGCAAAGTAACTTTTTTTTTTTTTTTTTTTTTTTATTAATGAGATTTTAACGTTACATTATGATATCTCGACAATTATGTACATGAATCTGAAATAAATTAAGGTTGGTAAAGCTCACACTCTTAAATTCGGAGACCTGATTGCAGAATACAATTTAGCGTATGTTTGATTATATTAGTATTGTCGGTTGAAAGAGCATCAATAAGGGAAAAATGAATACCAGAGATGAAAAAGAGAATCTTTAGCTGAGATCTTTGGATAGATAGAGATTGACAATTTATGAGTAGGTGATGGAAATCACAGTATTCTCCACCACAGTTGGGTAGAGGACAACACGCACTACTGTTGAGTCCCAATTTAAACGAGTGGTGTGGTAATAGGCTATGGCCCGTGCGTAATCTAGTGAATTTAGCTATGGCTGCACGGCTCATCTTTAGGGAATGAAACCATGGTTGATTAGGGATGTTTTTAAATAATGACCTATAACCAAAAGCATAGGATTCTGGTAAGGAATCCCATTCCAGCTTCCATTGTTCATTTATAAAAAAAAAGTAACTTATTACTTTTTTAAAGTAACTAATCCAACATTGACGGTTTTATGATAAACAAGGTTAGCAGCAGTCACGTAAAATACAAACCGTTGTGGTCGCATCGAATCGCTTAATTTTTTTTTGGTTTATTTAAATTAGTAGCTGTTTACTTGTCTACAAAATGATTGGTCTAATAAATTGTTAACTATACATAAACAAATGTAATGAACTCAGAATTAATTCTATTTTAGTATTGCTTGTGTTGAAAAAAAAAAATATATTTGATGTAGAATTTACGTGTAAGGGGCGACAAAATTTAAGTTTACCTATACACGATTAAACATTTGAGCCGGCCTGTCTAGCACTCATTAAGTCATGTAATATAACTAAACAACAATATAATAACAATATATTGTTGTTAAAATTATAATAACGCGTTATTTATAACGTATACGATTTGCAATAAGTATTATGTAGGTATATTGTTCTTTACAAATAAGAAAACGAAAATAAATATTTAAAAAAAGTCTATAAATTTGTATGCTCAAAAATAAGGTACCTACTTTTGAAGTATTCAGAAATCTTTTACTAATTTAAAATTCAATATCATTTAAGATTGTAAAATAAATTACAAGTAAGTACCAAACATTTTAAATACTTTGAGAGATTTTCAGATTTTTTTTTTTGATTAAACTGAAAATTATGATATATGAAAATACTAAAGAAAATACATCGGAAAAATGTTAAATTATTGAAACCGGTAAAAGTAACTGTTTTTAATAAGTGTAAAAACATATCATTATAATTTTAATATGAGTTTATCATTAATCATCAATCATCGGCAAAAGAAACATAACATTAATATTTAAAATATGCGTCAAAAGGGATGAAAAAAATCCAATTAATCATAAACGAATAAAAAAACCATAAATAATATATTATTACATAAAGGTATGAGTATACTAATTCATTTTCTTGAAAATGGAAAATTATTAGGTTCTTTCAAACATAATCGCAGCATTTTGACATTTTATAACATATGCTTAATGATTATATTATATTATTATGTCATGTTTTTTTTAAATTATTTTTATTTATGCTGTTACAAAGCAAATACGATTCGCGTTGCTAAAGTGATATCAAATAACAGTATTTAGTTAAATATCAATAATTGTTATGAATATTTATTTATTTCTAATTATTATTTCTAAAGTGTATTCTTGTTATTGATTCTCATTCATATTTAAGTTCGTCTTCGTCCAAATAATATTTTTAAAACTAAAATGGCTTACATCAAGAAAACAACATTTGTTCCAGCTGTATCGTTGAAACGACGTGACAATTTGGTAGCTTCGGATTACACCAATGCTCCGAAGTTTATACCGTCATACCAGATGAAACATGAAAAACCAAACATGTCGTCTTTGATATCAATGGATTACCAACAAACATGGACGAAAGAGAAAAATGAATATTTGAGATCA